ATTGGTAGGACTAAAAAAACTGAGTTGATAGAACTCAACTTGCAGATAACACTACAAAATCTGAGTCTGTAGACCTCAAAATCTATATGTCAAACTCATAAAACAAAGTTGATAGAACTCAGAACTTGTTGGCAGAACTCAAAAATCTTTGTAAAATCAACCACAGTGAATTTAAGTAAGGAAAACTCAAAAAACCAAATGCATCACATTGCCTAGATAATTTAAGTTCTGTCAACCTCTATTTTTTTTCAGTGGGCGTTCTGGTTCCTCATAGTTTCAAAGCTGCTGATCCGGTTTCTGAGTCAGTCTTCAGTTTAGTTCCAGCCTCTGATCAGTCCCTCCTGGTTCCTTCACCTTTGGTTCTTTTATCTCCAGGTTCTTTATGTATTATTACATGTTTGTGGTTCAGACACTGAAGGAACGATAATGAAAACGACTCACCTGATAATGTTTCTGTACTTCTACCAACAAAGATTAACCCAAAATGTTTCAGGCGTTTATTGATGCTTATTGTTAATATGATAGAGTCATAATCAAAGCAGAAAACCAAATGTTTTGACCCATTTTCTCACAGAGAACCAAACCATCTTCTGCATCATCAAATCTATGACTGATAGATTTCTTTCAACTAGTTCCAGATATTTTATGGCTGCCAAAAGTATTCCCACCCCTTTAACTTTTCCACATTCATTCTCGTTTTTATCTACATGGTGTTTTTTATTTATTTATTGGACAGACACAGCCGGTGAAGTATAGGATAGAGATTTTACTGTGTTTTATATAAACGTTTAAATCCATAGACGCTTTAAGCAGATCTTCAGCTGCAGATGGTTCCACGTGAAAACAACTGACAGCAAACGGCTGAAGCCGATCAACCGTCTGCTGTTTAATGCTTTAATAATGCCGCCTTGGTTTGCTCTTTATTTCAGAGTCAAACTGAAGGCAGAAAGGACCAATCAGAGGCACTAATGTAATGACATCATTGCTTATCATGTGGCCTGAACTGATAAATACTGACAGTAAGATGTTAAACATGGACTGGTTTCTCCTCTTGAAACAATCATCTCTGGTTCCTGGTTACCGTGTGACATCACTCTGACATCACTGATGGCTCATTAGCTCTGAACGCTCCACTCTGTCTCTCCCATCGTTCTGATTGCTTATCTTGATCTATATTCAGATCATTTCAGAAAACCCGATCCGTCAAACATTAGTGGAGTCAGATCAATGGAGCAACTTCGGCCCCTGATGTCTTCAGGTTCCTCCTGAAGCTGGACTCTTCCTGCAGAGAAGATGGAGAACAATCAGACAAACAGTCAAAAGCAGGCGGGAAAAAAGCTGTTCAGTCAAAATCAGATGCATGAAAAGCAGTTTGCTAGCAACAGTTAGCAATTACAGCCACTGGATGACCTCCATTGTTGTTTCTGTTTGCTACACATAGCAGACATTTTCAGAGTTTTTAGTCTTTTTTGAATGAGAACAGCTGTGCAGGTGGAACTGCCTCCATCCGACCCTGTTAGCATAATTAGCCATGCTTACTTGAAGGCAAGCTGTTTATTAGCTGAAACCCATTTTAAAAGGCTGTACTGTAGCCAAACAAAGCCCCCTGTAGGTACCAGACCTGCTGGGGCCCTGCCAGGGCTAACGTTAGCCTGTCTGCAGCAGCCAGGGCAAACGTTAGTCCGTCTGCAGCAGCTAGGGCTAACGTTAGTCTGTCTGCAGCGGCCAGAGCTAACGTTAGTCTGTCTGCAGTGGCCAGGGCTAATGTTAGCCCGTCTCCAGCCGAAGTAACGTTGAAGTTAGCTTCTAAACCTTAGACCATGGAACAGGATAGAAGATTGAATAACAACACAGATGATTTATTTTGTTTTCTTTTGACCAGTAAAGATTTTCAGTTAATGTGCTCATTTGGTGTCAGCGTTTCATTAAAGACAAGCATCAACCTCCTGAAGACCTGCTATTCAATGCTCTCCTTCCTGGGTTCATTCTTTTATTATTAATGTAGAATGAACAAATGGAACCAGGTGTGAAAGCTGCTCTACCTTTTCTGACATAATTTTCACTTTCACTCTTTTCCAGATTTTCTGTATCTCTGACTGTGGTGAAAGCTTTAAGGGTGAAAACAATCTAAAGCCTTTTGGTTTGTAGAACTCACAGAAATCTATGACATATGTCATTCAGTGCTGAAAAGATTCATTTTGATTGACACAAACAGCAGACACTTGGTCATGACATTTGCAGTTTGCCAACTGCCACATACCAACCATGAACTAATTCTGCTTAACCACAAAGTTTTCTATTAAACCATCAACTCTTCTAGACGAATAGACTCTACTCTGCAAACAAACCTTTGACTTTGAGCAGGACTGTTGTCCACCCCAGCAGTTTCCCATTCCTCCAGACTCCACATCTGTAACTCTCATCTCCTCCATCTAGGGGCCTCTTCAGAGTCAGACTGATGTCTCCAGTTCTTAGCAGGTCGTTATTCATCTCGGTTTGAGTTCTGTAGATCTGGGATTGTTCGTAGGGTTGATCAAAACCGCTTCGATAACAATGAATCTTCAGCTTTGGGGCAGGTTCATAGCGCCACCACTCAACTTTGGCATTGATAAGAAGTTCTGGAGACACTTTGAATGGCAGCAGGACAGACTCCGCCCCTTTCTCCACCTCCAGCCGACAGTCTGCAAATCAACAAAGAGGAAGCAGATCTTCATCATTTAACTGGTAACTATTGTCTGCAACTTCTCTTTAATTAATTCTATTGAGGTTCAACATTATTGATTATCTGGATTCATCCTGCAACCCTCACCCTTGTATGAAGTGAATTTGGAGAACTGCCTGTTTATAATTGAAGTCTAAAAAGTAGAAACTATATGAAATAATGAGTTCATTAATTTATTATTTTATTGATTTCTTCTTATCAAATATCTGGTTTCCACATTTGGAGACAAATGGCAGATTCTACAAGGAAGACACTGTAAAAGACAAAGATCACAAAGAAGGGACTTTGCTGGACAGTGACTCCATTCTAGTCCAGTAATGCTTTATGATTCACCAGAACCAGGTGGACGGTGCCTATGGGACGGGTGATGCCAGGGTTTACCCGCCCCCAATCCCCTGTGGACATCGGTGAATCTGCTGCTTGTCTGGCTTGTTATTGAATACAACATTAGATTGTACTATGCAGGCCGCGACAGGCAGGCTGACTAATAGAGATTCTTTGAATTCCTTGACTTTGCCTTAAGATCATAGTTGTCAGGCTCCCTAGATAATGAAATGTTCAGCTTTGACATTTAGCATAATTTACTTTACAGGAAACTTTTTTTAAGTAATATCTAGAACCTAAAACCTTTATAGGATAGACACTAACAGATGTGAACCACTGACCTCTGACATGAAGCTGAACCTGCTTCTTCATCAGAACGTCCCCCCCACTGCTGTAGATGGTGCAGGTGTAGACGTCACTTTCTTTATATGTGAGACGCTTCAGGGTCAGACTGAGGTCTCCAGTTTTTAAAAGGTCTTTGTTCATCTCTGTTCTGTTTCTGTAAAAGTTGTCCTGGTGTTCGAGAACGTCTGAACCATCCTGCAACATGTGGACCAGCCTGTTATTACTGTCCCTCCACTGAACTGTAGAAGCCAGCAGCTGGACTGTGGTTTCACAGGGTAGACGGACAGCATCTGTCCCTGAATCCACCTTCACCTGTTGGACTGAGAGGACAACAAAGACAAAAAAGACACTTGAAATCACCTGAAATGTTGGAAGAATGTTATGTTTTGAGTTGTAGGTGGGATTCTGTAATGCCAGTTGTCTGTTTGCTCCATTAATATCAAGGTATATATACACTTTAAGTTCAGTCATTTTAGATGTCCTTATGTTTTTAACGTTTTACCTCATAGTATTTTAATCAGACTGCAGATTTACCGCTGTCTTGTAGTTGGGTTTGTTGTAATAGCACTGCCACAAATCTGGATTTTGGCCAAGCATGCAAACATGAACTAGCTACTATGAATGGATTGGTTGAAATTCAGAAACTTGTAGTGTCTGATATGAACATTGTCTGGTTGTACAATACAGCCTTGTTGTGTGACATATAAGCAGTAGCATCAGTATCATGGCAAACCCGTTACCCCTGAACCACCATTATACCAGTGGAAATTCTGCCAGTTGTGGTAGGGTTACCACTGGGCACCAATGTATAACAAAGATAAGTGATTTGAAGGTCCTGGGCACGGTCGTGTTCAACACCTTGGTCAATGAGGGGGGTGGGTGTGGGGTGTGATAGAGAAAATGTAAGATTTAAAGAGGTGGTTTGTTGTGTCTCAATCTTAAATATTTATTTTTTGTGGTTAATGAAATCAAGGAAAGGGAGATCTGGAATGCAAACTGAACAAAACGGTTCCAATTCTTGTAATTGGGAGTATTTGAGGTCATTATTGGCCCGCAGGTGAAACTGAATCTGGCTCATGCCTTGTTTTTAACTTTTTTTTTTAATGACTATGACCTGGATGGCTTTCAATCTTCACCAGCACCTTTCTATGAAGCCTCTGGACACTATGAATCACAACTAATCATCGGATTGTGTCCACTGACCTTTGACCTGGAGCTGAACCTGTTTCTTCACCAGAACTCGTCTCTTCCTGCTGTAGACGGTGCAGGTGTAGGTGTCTGAGTCTGCACGTGTTGGGTGTTTCAGAGTCAGACTGAGGTCCCCGGTCCTCAGCAGGTCTTCATGCACTGTAACTCTATCTCTGTAGAACTGGATCTGCCTCTCCGGCTTATTACAGCGGTTCTGATGGAGGTAGACCGTATTGCCGTGATTGTCTGTCCACTCAACCGTAGCGTCCTCTGGGAGGGAAACAACGGTCCTGCAAGGCAACAGGACAGACTTCACCCCAGAGTCCTCCAGAAGCCTTATTTTGTAACCTGGGAGAAGAAAAAGGAGAAGAAAATATCACCACGACATAGAACTGGCTCCTCTCATTGAAGAGGAGCGGTGGCTCTACTCTGAGTCCTCCCGGATGACTGAACTCCTCAGGCTGCTTGTATCCAAGATCTCATTTTTTAGGTCATGACCCAAAGCTAATGACCATAGATGAGGTTAGGAAAGTAGAACTACCGGTAAATCAAGAGCATTGATTTTGGCTAAGCTCTCTCTTTACCACAACGGACTGGCAGGTTGCCTGCTTTACAGCAGGTGTCGCACCAATCCGCCTGTCAATCTCCCGCTCAATCTTCCCCTCATTCGTGAACAAGACCCCAAGGTAAACTTAAACTCCTCCTTTAGGGACTCACAGACTCACCTTTCTTAAAATTGTGACGAAAATGACAGAGCAAGCCTGCAAAGATCGCCAGAACCAGGAGGACCAGGAGAACCAAGAGAACTTTGGCCCACAATGGAAATATTTCTGTGGAGAACAATGAAGATCATTTTCATCAACAACGTCTCACCTCTTAAAGCAAGAGCTGCTTGGTTAGTTCCTGACCTTTGACCTGTAGGTCAACACTCCTCAGTGTCAGTCCATCTCTGCTGCAGGTGTAGTTTCCAGAGTCGGACACCTGCAGACGGGTCAGATTCAGCCCCAGGTCTCCAGTGTCCAGGGCATCGCTCCTCATGGAGGTTCTGTTTGTGTAAAGCTGGTTCTGCTCGGTCAGGTCATCTCCTTCTGGTCCACGCTGGTGAACGGTGGAAGGACTGAGGTCGGACCGGCTCCACACCACTGTGGCGTTCTTTAGATCCACAGAGGGAGACTTACAGGGCAGAAGAACAAACGGGTCCCCTTCAAACACCTCTAGAGCTCGGACCTCCAGGGACACTGTTAGAACAGAGACAACCGCCATAGTAACATGGTGTGTTTAAAGCCGGGCGTATACTATGCGATTTTCAGGGCGACTTTCCAGTCGTGCGAGAATTTTTAGATCTGGCCGACTTTCATCGTGATCGTAATGGTGTAGTCTACAGGGGGTAAGGGGGGGCGTTCTTTTAGGATACCATCATGACAGTCTCTATAAAGTGCCTTGAGATGACATCTGTTGTGAAATGGAGCTATAGAAATAAACCAAATAGAATTTAATTAATTGAAAACTCCCTAGCAAAGCTCTATAATTTGATTTCATTCGATTGGGGTAGCTGAGACACTTTTATTAAAGGTATAGTGGAGGATTTTCACGATTTTTTTAAAAAGACCCGCCCTTCCACTTTAAAAAAAAATGCACATGCACAACCCTGTACCCGCTCCCGAAAAGGAAAAGCCTATTAAAGATGGCGATGAGGACTGAGGTGATGATGGGAAGGAATCAACTCTAAAGATTTTCGAGAGCTGAAACCTGAGACGGCAACCTTTCGTGGATTTACTTGAGAAAATCGGTTTAACTTAGTTGTTCTTCTTTTTCTGTTTTGTGTTGGTTGGCAAGCAAATTCCGGAGGGGCATTACCGCCACCTACTGGAAAGGAGATGTGCAGCCAGACGGAGATGACGCGTTCTGCTCATGCTCTCTTGTTATCAGAGAACCGAGCCAGGAAAAAACCGAGCCGAGCCCACCTCTGGAACTGGTCTGCAGTTAGCTCGGTTTGGTTGTGTCTATCTCGGTTCAGTTCAGTTTGCTTTCCATTTACACACCATAAGTTATCTCAGTTACTGAGCTTGGACCGGTCTCGGACCGGTTTTTCAAGGGTAGTGTAAATGGGGTAAAAGAAAGTAGAACACATCGGCCCGGTTCTGAAGTTCTTCTTCTGGCTCCCTGTAGCTCAGACCTTAAAACCCGTCTGTTAGTCTAGAAATCCCTGAATAGCTGAGCTCCAGAATACATCTCAGACTGCTTAGCAGGGGGTCGACAGCCAGACCTCTCAGCTCTGGATCAGATCTACTGGCAAAGAGCTGAAAGCCTGAGTTGCTCTAAATCCGGATTAAAACATGTTTGTATATAGTTACCTTTTACTAACTTAACTAACTGGCATTCAATCCAACTTTACTTCCATATGTCTAAATATTTAATTTTGTCATTTTAATATCTTAATATAATGACAGCCTTTTATTCTATGTCACTTTGCTGCTGCAATGTGATTTAATATTTCTCATGTGCAGCTTTGAATGGAGCTGCCAGTGAAATGTACCACGGTATATAAATTAACTTCCATTCAGGGCTTTGATCTAAATCTTACAAACTACCTTCCATGAAGGACTGGAGTTGGATTCCATTGATTTGCGTTTATTTTTTAGTTTTAAAGTTTACTCTGTGATTTTATGAGTGTGATAAGAGCAAAGCAGGAGGAAATATGACAGAGGAGCAGGGAGGGGCCAGACTGGCGGGTCCAAAGGCCGGATCAGACGACCGACTCGTTAAGGACAGATCCCAGAACAACAAACTTTACAAAAAAGATAAATAAGATTATTTATTTTCTACTTGAAACATTAAATCAACTCAAAGGAAAAACTGTTAAAATATCTGATGGAGAGAAAATGATCCGCTGATGAAGTGTGGTCAGAACTTGGAGATGATGATGATGATGAGAGAGGAAGCTGATCTTACCGTGCAGCAGGATCCCAAACACCACCAACATCTTCATCATCTTCCTGTCAGAGAGCAACCAGGAGCAACTAGGAGAACCTTTCAGAGCCCTGGAGGACATCAGCTCCCAGCAGCTGATCATCTGACGTCTGACTGTCCTCCAGGAAGCAGCAGGTCTGAGGTGGAGGGAAGGAGGAGCTCAGGGGATCTGGACAGAGATCCTCTCTCCGTTCACTCTAAGCAGCCTGGGCGTAACGGACCTGGGAGCAGAACTTCTACTGGCAGCACCAGAACCTCTGGGCTCAGACCCGGATCAGCTGCTGCAGAGCAGAACCTGGGCGGGAACCTGTGAGTGTTTTACCTTCTCGGGTTTAACAGACGTCTAAATGAGGAATGGAGCTGGTCTCCATAGAGATCTCATGCTGTTCTTGAACTGGAAACAGGAAAGACTTTCCCAGCGACGGACGGATGGAGAAGCAACTTCTCCCTTTAACAACGTCACAGCAGGGACGATTTATCTGATAATCAGATTTAAAGGAAGTCCTATAAACTAAAGAACTGGCTGTATCTGTTCCACAAGCTGCTCCTCCATCATGCATTTTATAGCCATCTGCACTGCTCATATTTTCCTGCTGCACCCCCATATCCCTCAGCATCACCAGCCTCTCCCGAGCTTAAGAAGCTGATTAAATCACCACAGACTAGAGGTGCTGGAAGAACCATCAGTGTTTGCATGCATCTCAACAGCACAAGGCTAAGCTAACTGCTAACTGCTCCGTTACTGAGGTCACCACATGCTGATGGTGGTTGTCTACCATCTGCTAAACGTTGGATATTTGCCATCAATCTCAGCCTGTTTGAATCCAAACACACAGAAACATCCATTTTGTTTGGTTGGATGATTTTATTGCAAAAGTACATGAAGTCAAATCCTGTCTGGTTCTTTATCAGCCTGGGCTGCCTGGGGAGCAGGAAGAGCTTTCTGGTTTGTAGAGAACATCACTGGATCTAAGCAGGAGGGGATTTACCATCAGGCAATACCAGGCAGCTGCCTAGGGCCCCAAGTTCCTGGGGGCCCCATAAAACTATGTTTACATGTATGGTTAATGCAGCTATTCCTTATTTATTCACATTAATTATGTTTTTTGATAAAAATCCTTTGGCTAAAATGTCATCAGAACGCTGATAATATTAAGTGTGTCTCAGCCCCCCCCTTCAGTGTCCACCAT